CCTTCTTGGTCTTGCGTGTTTGGCCATCTGAAGGGACATCTTCTGCGTTATCCTTGCTCGTAACTGGGCGGGAAATCCGTTTTCGCTTGGCTTTGGGAGCTTGGCCAGTGCTGGTAGTGCTGGTGATAGCAGCCATCGAGGCCTGATGAGCTTCAACAACCCTACGGCTGGGACGTCTGTTTCTCTTGGGCATTCTCTCTGGTGTCAGGTCCTGTGCAGGCGAAGAAGGCGAAGCTTGTTCTGAAGCGTCTTCGTCTTCTGAGTGATCCTCTTCATACTGCGTGTAGTAAGGTGGCAACTCTGCCGAAGATGGAGGTGCCGTGACAGCAGCTCTATGAACCAAGCGTGCAGCACGTACAGGGGGCACGTACATGTTCCCGTCCTGTGTCATATCGCGTGCTGGTAGAGCTCCGCACTGTCTTGCGCTGTCCTGGAAGCGAGGCATACAGGGCAAGGAGCGCTCCTGATGAGCACGCTTTCAAAAAGGAAACCAACTCTCTTTGAGCATGTTGAAGACATGCCGTTCGATAGGTCAGTCAAAAAGTCGTCTCCTGGCGAGTGAACATGGGGACGACTTTTGGAGACAACTTTTTTCAGCGCTCTGATAAGTCGTGTAGCCAATAAGTCATTACTTTTTTACTTGGACATCCCTCTTAGTGCTGTCCGGAACGCTGCTATCTTGACGTAAGAACGCACTAGACGTGAGAGCTTCACGGATCGTGGAGGCTTCCGAGTGAATGTCCATTTGCTCGCAGTAGGCAGTGCATCGACGGATAAACTCGTTGGCTTCGTAGCCATTCAGGAGGATCTGACCCGAGATCGTCCCGCCAGTCTTCCGGTGCGCGATTACGTCCATGAGAGTCGTCTTGCCAGCTCCCGAAGCGCCCATAAGAGCGGTCATTTGACCAGGAAGAGCAAAGCCACTGATACCTTTAAGCAGCTCGATGGATTCCTTGGGATTCGACGGCTTTGGCACCGAGTACCGCAGGTCTTTGAACGCCACAGTGACTGGAGTGAAGCTCGAGTTTCGAGACGCTACCTCCATCACCACCTCACTCGCTGTAAGAGACTTGGAGACATTGCTAGTGGGGGTAGTAGCAAGTCTGTAAGCGTCGTCTTCTTCGGTCTTTGTAGTGACAACCCCCACGTTCTCGGGCGTCTCGTAGCGTTTGTACTCTAGAGCCAGATACCCCAGAGTCATACACGTCACGTAGAAGACAGCCATGTAGATGACGCAGTAGAAGATCCAGATCTTCTCCGTCTTGAGGTCGAATAACTGCAGGTAGTACTGGCCCATGGTCGTGCCTTCAGTAGTACAGTAGTCGATATCATGGTACACGCACACGTCCAGTACTGACGACGCGGTACTCGATAATCGCGAGTGCACGCAGTGTCCAG